TCGTGGGTGTAGGTCACCACCGGAACGGCCTTTTGCTGGGTTGAGTTGGTCTGTTGCCTCTGCTGAGCTGGACGTTGAGGCTGACTCGATGGCTGGTTGTGGAGCATCGAGTGGTGGAGGCCCCCGCAATACTGGCACTTGGTCTTGGACCTGCAGTCCCTCACCGAGTGCCGACCAAGGCAATTGTAGCAGAGGTAGCGACGCTCTACTACCTCCCTACGAGCTGATACCGAAAGTTGACGGAAGGATGAGCAGGATGTGAGGTAATGGTCTGCCTCACACATCGAGCACGAGTACGTGACCTTCCCTGATGGAGCGGACTTGAGAGCTGGCCTCGATTTTTGTGGTGGTTGAGCGGTGCCGTGGTGAACCTTCGCAATGCGTTGAGCTGGCTCCCCTGAGAGACTAGTACGAAGATACTGCATCTTCTCCACGTTGGATAGGTCTGTATTCGAGCCGACCAGAGATGCGAAAAGATCGCGGAACGAGCGCCAGTCCGCATAGGCCCCTCCGAACTTGGGCAGAGAAATCTCAGGGAGATAACGCTTGGAGTATGTGGGCTGTGCCGTCCCAGACGCGAGAGACCGACGAGATGAACCTGAGATCCCCCTTTTATCAATGAGCTGGCTTAAAATACCCCTTGCCTCATGATAATGCCCGATAGTAATGTCGAACCGATGGTCCCTAAAGTACGGCAATTCAAGGATCCCTTCGATCTTGCCGCTGCCAGCGATGAGCTTCTCATGAGTGCTCTCGAACTTTTCCCAGTAGGTCTCCAGGATCTCGAGTTTACCCTGGAGATTGGAGATTGTGAGGCTTTTCGCCTCTTCTGTGAGCAGCTCCTTGTAAACGCGTTCGATGAACGCTGCCCGAGAGTTATTCAGGCTAATGGTCGCCTCAAATGATGCCATAATTGAAAATAAGTGCGCAGCTCAAAAAAAGGAATGAACCGGAAAAACCTAAGTAAGGCGACCCCAAAAGCCAAGCAGTGAGCAGTGAGAAGCGATAAAATTAAGTATCCGGTCGGTTGAGCGGCAACAGTAATAACACCGAAGAGTCTTAATTTAGTAGGTAGCAGCAGTGAGCGATTCCGTTGAGCAGGCGCGAGAATTTATTGAAAAATTCAAAAAAAACGAAAAAGGGTTGGAGAATATAAAGGGAGCGGTAGCCAAAAAAAACAAAGTTGAATGCTCCAAAAAATTCAAAAAAAGGAAAAAATGGCAAAAGTAGCAAGAGGTAATTAAATGCTACTTAGCCGAGTGAGTGATGTTGAGCTGGACCAGTGCAGGAACGCTGCAGTTGAGAAAAAAGTCCAAAGTCCCGGGGATGAGCTGCTCCAAAATTCAAATATTCCCGCGGGCCGGTAATGCAGTTCCCTGATGATTGGAGAGCTGGACTGGTTGAGGTCCACTGCGTACGCTGAGCCAACGAGCTGGTCCCCGTAGGTTGAGCACCACTGACCGCGGCACTTCCACTCCCGCCAACACCCAACAAAAAAAACGAAAACCGAAAAATATTCCACCGATCCGGCTCGAAGGACCAAACTGTATGATGAGATGCGTGGATCGGTGGTAATTAGGGGCGGATGGGCAAGTAATGAGTGGATTTGCCGGAGTAGATGAGCGGTTTCAGAAATGAGCGGACACGTGCACTTGAGTTCCACAAAACACTGTATTTGTCAAAGAAAATGTTCACAATAAATAAGTCACTAGAGATTGAGTCACTGAGCAACCGTAATAATGAGCGGACCGATAATAATGAGCCGACTAATTCCTTGAATTGATAATAATTGAGCTGACACAATGAGTGAACCCGAGTCACTAGAAAAGAGCAGTACAATAAACGAAGTGTCTTTAACTCGATCCCGGGAACGAATGAGAAAGAGACTAGGGCTTACAGGTGCCACGTGCCCTAATTCGATGGTCACATGACCTAATTTAATATAGATCATATGGTAATAAGGAGCTGTCCAGGACGTGGCGCCTCAGGTGTCCGAATTAACAACCCCCGGTCATCTGAGGTGAGCGCGTCAGGTGTGCGTGAGTGGGGAGAGAATGGATGAGCCTTGCGTGCGTTAGTGTGAGGGACCTGTCAGCTGACAGGATTTCCAACAATAGTTAATCTACATACAAAATGTTCATATACACTTCGAGGCATATTAACCGAATTTTTTAGTATGAGATGTTGATCAACTCCCGTGCTGTAGCAGAAATATAAGTTCCGAAAATTACTGTATGCATTCAAAAATGGCAGGTGGAAATAAACATGCAATGCGGGGACATTGTAACCACCGAATATCATACGGAGTGTATGATTATTGTTTCGAATATTTCGCAGTCCGACCAATTGAGAATTTTCCAATATTCCAATGGGATTAGATTTTCCATTGATATCCAATTTGTGAATGTAGATAAATATGAATGTGCAGAAGTTTACAGTGGAAATGGGGAAATTATAAAATTAATTGTGTTCAATTCCCGCCACTTTAGTGATATAAGTTTACAGCCTGCCAGTGACAACAGTGGTCTCATGGGTGACTATTTTTTGTTTTTCTGTACGTTACATTTAGTACCATGTGATGTAGGGCGTGTTTTAACCCCTCACGTACGGGCTCGGTATGTCATACCGACCTATGCAAAAAAGCGCGGCTCTTTTCAAAATTGAATATTTCCGAAACTATGGTAGATAATACAATCGGACTAATACCATTGGGAAGGTGAATACTGTAGCTTCAATTATATATTTTATTTATAATTTTTCATTCATCAGAAAAGATGGCATGCGAAGAGTATTGAGCGTGTGGTAGACTTGGTATTAGAAAGGCCCCGTACGTGTGGGGTTAAGGAATTAACTGCGTTGATTGACAGGGAATATTTTTACGTAATGTTGGCATTATGTTCTATCATTTGACCCATGATACACGGATTTAATTCATTCTTATAATATCCCCCACTCAATGGGAAAAAGCGACAACATACATTCTAGAATATCTATATATTATTGCACTATTAATTTGCGTGTGGGAATATTTCATACGTCAGACTTTTGATAGTTGCAATAAAGACGGCACCTTAAAGAGTTTCAATCTATGATTCATTTTCCAGTTGTCAATATTCGAATTTTTGTTAATTTTAATTGCAAACACGGGGGTTCACTTTCTACTCTATGACTGTACATTGAACACATACATTTTTATCCACACGCAAGGATAAAACTTACACCAGTCCTCTGGAACATTTTTGTATGTTGTGACGAGGTACTTTTTTACTATTATTTTAATCATTTTCCCCACACACTCAGCCCCCTAAAATATAAATTCCCGCCACCGTTGGTCACCCGATTTCCCCAATTATTTCCCCTCAGCCCCTTCTGCCCTTTCTACTGGAAGCAGAGACGAGATCGCCCGAAGGAAGTCAGCCTCACCGGCCCACGAATTCGCTAAACAAGGACCCGTGCCCCCCTAGAAAAATACTCACAAGACGCCCCTTGACCATATTTATCCCCAGCAGCCCACTAAGATACACTCCCTGTCTGATATCCCATCGGCCCCCCGCAGAGATCCAAGTCAAGTGACGAAGTTAAACGAAGGAATACGAAGGAGTGCAAAACTAAAAAGGAAATGAACAAAGGAGACTCACTCGTTGTTCAGCTGCCCCGTGAGTTACCAAGTGCTCTGTGAGCTATTCAAAAACAGACACATTACCCGTGGCAAAGAGGGAAGAAGTCGTGTGGCTGATCATCCCCATCATATCGCAGCCGAATCATGGACTTGTCGAGGTGGATTGAAGGCTTGGGAGTCGTATACTACCCGGAAAAATTGACGAGGGAAATCGACAAGGATCCAAGGACGCCCCCGATTTGTGCCCACGCGGCTGTAAGTACGAGTTACAACGCCCATTTTCCCATCATTTCATCCCCCCCCCCCAATTAACTACCCCTCGACGGTGAGTCCACACACTTTTCTTTTGTCCCATTCGAGTTATTCTATTGATATTGATATTTTTTATTGGATTTCCCTCGACACTAGATTTTCCCCTTGTTAATAAAATTAGAGTCATGCCTATTAGCATGTACAAATGTAGCCCGGCCTTACCTATCTCCTAGATCTCATATAAAAAGCATTGCATCAAATCTTTGAGGAATCTTAATTGTTTCCTGAATAGGAAATATAATTGGTATTTAAAATCAATCCCTCAATTGTCCTAATTATTTGGTTTCCCTTAGTCTTCCTTTTAGGTGATTGAACTAATTAAATAGTTGAAGGTTACAATTTGGCGCCCAACGTGGGGCCAGGCACAGCAATCTGAGCGCGTTGTTATTCCTCCCCCCCTAATTTCCCCCCACAGACGCGCATTCCATTCCCCTTTGCGCGTGGCTCACCGTTGCGTCATTGTTTTGTTTCGTTCAAGGTCATTCTATCTCTAATTTATTTTCTTATTATACTATTTTCTTCTCTCGATTCTTCTTTCCCTCGGTATTCCTACTTTTTGCCCTTTCACGGCACCCCCCTCGAATCCCCCAAGATAGCCCCTGAAATAAATATACCGGGTGTTCATTTCGGATTATATTTTTTTTCTCCGTATTTATATTAACTCGGGAACCATGTGAGGGAGTTTAAATTCGGTAATTAATTAATTATTACATTGAATTACTTCTTTTTTTTTTATTTATTGAGGTTTATTTTTTATCTCTCCGTTAGAATCTCCACCCCCCATTTAGTCGAATCAGAGGATCGCCCCCCGAGATTCGAGAGCCACAATTTTTTGTTGTTTTTTTTCAATCCCCCCCCCCCTTCACTCAAAGCATAAGAATTTTCGTTTTTTTATTTTTTATTTTTTTTGTCTTGTGGTTCCCACCCAACATGGGTACCACTACCACGGAATCCACCCCCATCATCNCACCCCCTGAGTCAGGCTCAGTGTTCACCACCATCACAACAACCACCCTGACTACGACTGCGCGTACTACAACGACATCTTCGATCATCCCTCGCGACTTTACCCACACCCATGACACACCCACAATCCCTATGATCCCAGATCCAGCGGCCCTAGCCCAAGTTCACCGAGTCCTCGAACAGCAGTTTGAACGTCTATACCCCCGGGACCAAGTCATTCTTTTGGACACGCTGGGAATTAGTTGTAAAGGAAGGGCCAATGGCCCCTACATACACTCTTGAAATTGCAGATAGAAGTCTACAGGATATTATGGACAATGACAGACTATTTGATGAAAAAATATTTATACCCGAAACTTTGAGAGATCGATTCGTGCGATTCGAAATGCGTAAACAATACAGTACTCATATCGCCCACTGGGACGAAGAGATTGACTCCATGACAACCCCCATCACTACTGTCGGGTTTCACGTCACCCTCGAGTCCGACCGTTCCTTCAGATGCCACCCCTCAGAAAATATGAGTACAGGTCAGACCCTCGGACTCTATCAAGGTCCTATCAGTTTCAAGCAATCGGGAATAGATGACAGTCATTTATCTCAGTCGACCGTCAATGACTACAATCGTACTACCCTTCCCCATCGCGTGACTTTCCAACAACCCTTGGTCACATCAGTGAGTTCAACCCCCGTGAGACCCACTATGACCCCTCTACCCAGTGGACCCTCACGAATCTCTTTTACTCACCCCCAGCCTCAAGACTCCCTATACCCCCCCCCATGCCTCAACACACCCTCTCGAACACAGCCCCCCCTCCTTTCCATGCCCACAGCCCTCCCTCTCATGGACCCAACCCCTATTCATACAATCCAGCTCCCTCATCCCCCAATGCATACTCCACCTACAATGTTGACAAACCCCTATCCCTCCAGGCTCAAGGAGGGCATTCAAGGCTCCGTTCTGTCCCCTCGGTTGTGAAGAGAGTATCTGGCAAGTCCGCGATTATATCATTT